GAACAAACGCAAACAACAGATGAGGGCGCTCCAGGGCGCAAAATATTTTATTTAACAATTTGCATTTAGGAAAAATAGCAGCTCCCGCCTCGGAGGAAGCTTCTTCAATCAAAAGTCGCTGGCAGTCGACACAGAGCACAATGGGCTGCGCCAGGCCGGGGAAGCCGAGGGCGCCCCGAGGGTCTCGGGCCCCGGGAAGCACAGGAGCACTGACGGAGGGACACTGGAGACGCCCCTGACAAGGCCTGGCCTTTCCCAAAGTGACAAGAACATCTGGGTCTGGTCATACACGTCTGTGACACATTTTGGAAAACATCCTGTGTGTCTTTCCTAGATGATCAAGTAACCAGGAGAATGGGAAGGCCCCGTGCACACTCCGCATTCACACAATCCCTACTTGAGATGGAGAACCCCAAGCAAAATACATTCCCCCAGCAGAACCTACGGCAATTACTTCCTAATGACTTTCATAAATACTTACGTCCTTTCAGTCTCTTTAGACTTAACAAGAGTGGGGACAGTTTTAAGAACAGTCGATGAAGCCTTAAAGCTCTGAGTCCAGTAAGAGGGGGGCTTCCTTTGCAGGTCTGCTTGGCTGGCAGCCAACGCATGGTTCGGAAGGTTCAGTGGGGAGAAAAGCCAGGGGCAGAAACACCAGCTTCCAGACTTCAAGAAATTATTTTAAGCCACCTTCTTCAGGATGTTACCAACTCCTGAAATTACGCCACTCAGGTGACAGGAAGCATGTCAGCTGGCTCGTGCTCTGAAGCCACCAGGAGGACAGCTTGGACTGGTGTGCAGAGCGTGGTGACCCGCTGGCTGCTGACAGTGGGTACGAACTGGCTACTCGCTACTGAAAACCCAAATCAAATTCAGAAGTCAGTTTCAACCCTGGCTGATGGGTCTGGACCAGTCACATTTGGAACACAAGTTCTGCGATGGTGGCTGTTTCGTCCCTCGTGATGGACCAAGCCAGTCCCTCTGGCTGCAGGACACCCCTTGTGGTCCTAATCAGGCCACAGGAAATGCAGTGCCACAGAGAAATGCACCAAAGTAACGAGGGCGTCTCTCCAGCCTGAAGAGTATGACTGCTGACCCATTCCACGGCTCCGTCAGGGCGCTCAGCAACACTGCCACTCCCATAAACCACAGTTCTGGGCTCCGAAGGGGAGCGCAGGGCGCCACGCGGCAGGCATCAGTGTTTCTTTCCTGAGTCGGAGGTTCCCGTTTTCTTCCAGCATCTCCCAGGGACCGTGGGACAAATCTGGCAGGAACTCGCCCCTGGGCTTCGAGAAACGCCCTACATACTGAAGAGCAAAGTCTGTCCTGCAGCAAAGACCGTCCCAGTTGCACTCAGTGTAACACTTCTAAGTGACTACGAGTGTTTACGCTGACCTCGTTCTTCTAGGGGACAGTTTCTGAGCCAAAGTGACTCTTCCTCCAGACCTCAGAGGAGCTGTGGGGTTAACTGTGGCATCGTGTCCTCAGACAGGAGAGACGGAAGGCATCCTGAGTTTCTGCTTGTCCATCTGGGGACAGAAGGGAGAGTGCAGGCAGTCAATCTGGCTCTTGGTAGAGTCGTTTCAGGTTCCAAATGCTAATCCAGACAGGGGCTGGTCGAGCTCAACGCTGGGCACTTCCTCTGGCCGGTCCTCCCCGTCCTTGAACTTCCTGAGGTGGCAGAGGCCTGAAACGACACGGACAGCACTGACTTCCGCACGCCCGTCTCCCGGGGTGGGTGACACTCAGGGAAGGATTGACACGCCGAGACGCAGGCCTCGGACACAAGTCGAGGACACACCGCCGGTGGCGAATGGCATGTTTGGTTTGTTCTGTTTCTGCAACCCGTGACTGCTGCCTGGCCCAGTTCGCATCAGACCCTGGCGTTCCCTTTATATAGGTGCTGCAGCTTGTTAGGGGCTCAGAAGGGAGGTCAATTCCAAGGGCTGAGCATCTCAGGGCCCCAGGGAGGACCACAGCCAGGCCTCCTCCTGAGGAGCACAGGACTGCTCTCTCTCACCCTCTCGCAAATCCTAACTGAAATGACGGTTGAGGAATTCTCACAGAGACATAGCTACAATACAAGGTAACAGCAACGGGACAGAGAAAACCACCCCCAAATCTTGAAGCAGAGAGGCAGACATACGGCCAGGTGCTAACGGGATGCAGCAGTCCTGGCGGGGAGGGATGGGAGGGGCGCGGCCCGCGCGGAGACAGCCCCATCTGCAGGAGCCCGAAGCAGAGGGCAGCAGGGGATGGGGAACGGGGACGGTGTGGGCAGCAGGACTGGCTGCGTCAGGCCAGGAAGGCCTGTCCCGAGGAAGGCTGGCTAAGAGTCAGGAGGCAGAGTCTGCATCAGGACAAACGGGGTCCGGTGGCGTCTTCCGTCCTGCTGACCTGTGCCCCCACTCATCCCCCCCCCCACCTGGCAGCCAGTCTACAGTCTAGAGGCAGGAGCCTGGGGGAGAAGAGAGAAGGCAGAGGGGGAGAAGTGACAGGAGACAGCCCGGAACATCCCCAGGTGAAGGCCAGCCAGGCCCCGCGGGGTCCCGAGCACAGAGGCAGAGCCAGGAGTCAGGTCGCCGGTTGGGGGAAAGGCCTCATCCCATTCCCGACCCGGAGAAACAAGGGCACTTACTGTGTGAACTGCGCTGGGCTGTAGAAGGGCACTGCTGCCCCAGGAGGGCCTCCTGCGGGGGGGTGGGTGCCGGGAGCCTAAGACCAGAGAGCACACGTCAGCGAGACGTCACACAGCACTTGTGTCCCATTGACAAGTATGATGCTATGTCTGAGCAGGACTTAGAATGCTTCTAAGCAAGCCCCAGACGCAGAGCAAAGAGCCTTCTGGCGACACCAGATGTAATGTTTTAGTGGCTCACAGAGAAATGGTGAGAATCAGAGCAGCGTGCAAACGCTCCCGAAGCCAGAACATGCACAGCTACGTCCCATCAGCGCCAGCGGGGCAATGAGTAGACACTTTGGATTAGTTCAGACCTAAGGTGACCAGCTACAGAATCCAGTGTTCTAATTCGCAAAGAAAGAAGTCCCAGGAAGCCTTTCTCCAGAGCCGATGCGAAAAGCTTGGTCCCACGACAGAAAAAAGATGAAGTACTCCTTCACTTTCCACCCAGACTGGCACAGGACACGGTCACTGCTTCACTGCCTGACCTAGTAAACCGTCTCGTGCTTGATCAGAGAAAGGAATTCTTCCTTCCAAGAGAGCAACCTGACCCGGCGGGCTGCGAACACACTCACACAGTGAGGCCACGACCAGGGCCGGTCCCTGGGAAAAGCCACTTCAAAAGCAGCGCAATTATAAGACTCATCCAGTAGCTAGGATGTTGAGGTCAATCCAATCATCAGAGTGTCTGGATACTTAACACCCTTTAAGAAGACTTAACAAGAGGAACACTGCATCCTGTCATGGTGGCTGTGACAAGGGGTGATGTTAGTGACCAAGTGCACAATGACCAACAGGTACAGCACCCTTAACAGAAAACAAAGGCAACCCAGTCAGCTCTGTGCTCAGTGGGGACCGCCAGCCACAGGTACCTGATTAAAATGCTGGCTCACTTCACGTGACAGTGAACTCATTGAACTACAGCGCGAAAGCTACAAAACAGCGAGAACACAACACAGACAGGAAGAAATCAACGTGCACGTCACGCTCCAAGCTGCGGGTTTAATTCCAAAGACCTTTCTGAAGCCGTTAGAATCGACAGGATTCAAATGGAGGAAAGCCAGAGCGAGCTTGACATTCCTGCTTTAATGCACAGTTCTGAGTAAGACACATCCATTAGTGGAGGGTAGTAGGGGGCGTCTGTCCAACTCTCGGCCAGAGCCTGCTGGACCGCATGACCCTGAGAACTCAAGCCCCAGGCAGGCCAGGCTGAGTGCAGAGCTCGCCTGCTGAGTGGGAACTCAAAGCCCCCACTATTTTGAGTCCCAAACAAGTGTGGCTGGTTTTCTGAGGATACAGGAACACTTTTCAAGTTCTAAGAAGTGCTTAGACTGACGTTCCTACTCACTAACGTTCCTTTCTAAACGCAGAAGCCACTGGACAACAAGTGCCCTGGCCCAAACTCCGGCGGACACTCTCCTGTGGGGGCCCCTTACCTCTCCTCCCTGGGAACCATGCACTTCAGAACCCAGGAGCGAGGCTGCGGAATCTAAAACCTGCCAAGAAAAATAGGAAATGCAGCAACCACCAAGGTCCCACACGAGGCAGTGAGCCAGCACGCCCCTCTGGCCCAGGTGACAAACTGCTCCACTCCACAGGACGTGCCCCCTCGGAGAGGCTGTGGAAAGAACGCCCTCTTTCTTTCTGTGCCTGATCACCACGCGCAACCTCCAGGCTCCAGCACTGGCAGCCGTGTGCCCACGGTGGCCTGCAGCCTGACACTTCTACCGTCCCATTTCACAGAGCAGGACACTGAGGCCTCTGCTCAGCTAATCCGTGGGGAACCAGGATGGAAATCCAGGTCTTTCCAACTTGAGACTGTATTCTGTACTATTGCATTTCACACAAAGTTTTAACATTAAAAAAAACTTTTACGGCCATGATTTCAGTGAGACAATCACTACTCAACACACATGTGGTTAGTTTGCAAATCTCTAGAGGACATTCACCAGGAAAGGGACCTCAGGCAGAAGCGGGGTCCTCTGGACATGACAGACACAGCTCCGCAGGTCAGGGCGGGGTGGTAGGCAAACAGTCATTGCACCCCACCTGTCACGCTGCAGCCACTCACCTTGGGCTCCGAGGTGGGCTCTGGCTGGGCCACACCCCCCGCCGGTGCCTGCCCTGCCAGGCCAGCCCCCTCTGCCAGCAGGGCTCCCTCTGCTGCTTCTGTGGGGAGACAGTGTGGGAGGGAGGGGCGTCACTGCATCTCACACATCTGTGGGGCCACACAGACATCCAAGCGCGGAGGGAAAGGAACTGAGCCCCTTTGCACACTGGCCGGTCACTCCTCTTAAAGGGAGGTTACGGAGGCTCGCAGAGAGGGTCAAAGGTCAGGAGGCCGGGCTGACAGGTGCGGCTTACCTGGGTTTGGTCCGCACAAGTGAGCCGGGATCGGGAGTGGGGCGAGTGGGGCGAAGAGGTCTGCGGGGGCGAGGGCCGGCTCGGCGCGCCGGGGCCCCCCTGGGTTCAGGACGTCCACATAGCGAGCTCTGGTCCCAGCTGTGGGGGAGGAGCCGACTCAGGTCACGAGCTGACTG